TGACAGTCATTTAAGATCCTATCAATTTATATTTATATAAACTCATTGTTTTTTTTTCACATTTTGTAAAGGGACTGATGAATGCAATTTGTTGTAAATAAAACTGTCAATACGATTTCATTTCATCTTGATCTTTTATCTTCTATCAATATCGATGCACAAACCTTAAGACTTTGTCACCGGGTTTGTACTAACATGAGCAACACGACGGGTGCCACATATGGAGCAGAATCTGCTTACCCTTCCGGAGCACCTGAGATCACTCCTAGTTTTTGGTGGGGTTCGTGTTGCTCAGTCTTTAGTTTTCTATGTTGTGTCTATGTACTGTTGTTTGTCTGTTTGTCTGTGTTCTTTTTTTTTGCATTGGCGTTTTCAGTTTATTTTCGACTTATGAGTTTGAATGTCCCTTTGGTATCTTTCGCTTCTCTTTTACAATATTGTTTGTCTATGCTGTACAGTCATCACATATGAGATGAGAGAGAGTCGATGCCGTCAGATGGAAGTGGCACGACTTTCAAATAAAGTGGAATATTATTAATAAAGCAAACAAGTTTTGGAGATGTCATTTTGATATCTATTTTGGGTTTAGCGGACTGGTGTGTTACAGTTATAATTATACTGTTGTTCAACAGTGTTTAGTATTTTGGGAACTAATATCAATTCGCTGATTTAAAGCTCGAAGCAGGACTAAAATCTATCTATTACTTTTGCTGCATGTAAATTTGTAGAAATTGACTTTAGGCATTGTATAAGGTCGTGTCTAACGGAACTGTATGATGTATGCAATCTAGAACGAAGAACAGCCACCGATATGAAAGTGTAGGACAGCATGATTTCATATCAGCAGGTTTATTACTTGGAGCTTGCTTTCAGTAAAATGGAGTATTCTTTGATACGGTATTATTTATCATTTGTTTGACTAATAACATTACTGTGTGTTTATACCGGTTTTAAAGAGTTATGTGTATCTTCTGATATGATTTTTAGACTTAACGCCTTTTATGTCGTGACTTTCTGTTATTCTGCCGATCGAGAATAAAATGGGAATGGTTGAACGATAAAATAGTTAACTTTACCCACAAAATGATCATGCTTATGTCCTTACTCAGGAATCTCAAGAAATCCCAAGACTTATTATTTGTCTCGACTAAATAGTTTTAGAACAAAATACGATAACTTTAAAATAGTTCGTCAAATAAAAAACAATAATATGTCAAATACAACACGTTTAGTGATACAACACGGATCATTTACAGTAAGGCCTATTCCAACTGTTCATTCAATTGCTTGATATTGTCAAAGGCAAAAGCAATCTTGTGGTGCTTAGATGTTTCCCATATCTTTAGCACTAACGGTGTGTTTATTTCGTCTAGTCCACATTGTCACTTGTATACATATGACTCGCATATGTGAAATCAAAAGGCTACACAACCTGCACTCGGTCATGGTGGATCATCAATCTGATTAAATTTAGATCCATCGTAACTCGTCGAAGAACATAACAATATCAGATATCTATACTAATTATTTTAATTAGATTTGGGGGATCTTATCCGTGAGTTCTGCCTGCTAAGAGCTGAAAATTAACATTTACATCAGCATGCATAACAACTATTTCATAATACGACGGATTTGTCGTTAGATACAATGTATCAGAAGTTTAGCTCAGTGCAGTTTCAATGATGCAGTTTTTAGCTGTGAAGGTTCTTCTTGGTTTACTCTAGGATTTATAATACACGTCCTTGGTTTGCTGATTTTAAATAATCGTCCGGATCAATAACAGGAACCGGCGCATGGACCACTTTGTACAAAAATACCGGGACTATTATAATAGTCCCAGAACAAGAGGCTGTCAGTTGACAGCAAACCAGATTTTCCTGCATGAAAATAATATTGTCAAATCTGGACCCCAAACAGGATCGACTAAAAAAAATAAATGAATTTTTGTAAGGTTCAGAAATGGAATAGCCAAAATCAATCTTGACTTCCTATTTATGATAAGTGACATGATACTGGAATTTAAGAGAGTATATAAGTACACACACATTTTTTCAGCAGGGATGGCTAGGCAGATTTCATCAAAGCGTTTTCAAGTTATTGCAAGGACAACACTTTAAGTATAACTTTTCGCTACTTAAAGGTCTACAACTCAACAACGACAAAAGCTAAAATCGTGAAAATCAAGCTTTACCTTCACTTAGTCACAGTAAACAACATATCTAAATTTGAAAAGATTTCTTCAAAGTTTTTTCAAGTTATTGAACGGACACTGTTTGGCAGCCGCCAGCTCGCCCGCCGTACATCACCAAATTGATAACCGATATTTTTTTCGGAGATCCGGTTAGAAATATAAGCTTTTGGCTTTTACATCTATGTTTAATGTTCTTGGAGTTCTAGTTTGGCCAGCATGTATGTTATGAACCAATCTTACGTTGTTTTGTAATCGCCTGGTATAAACATTGCTGCTCTCTTTCTTTTGTTGGTACATGTATCTCAGTGGTTGGGGTCCCTACATTCACGTTTACCCACATATCCTTTAATTCATAATTTGATTATTTCTTGTGAACATGAAGAAATATACAACACTGTGGCTTTAATTTGTTATAAATGTTTTACAATAAGAAAAGAACTGCTATAGTTAAATTCATAGTATCAGCAGTTAGAGCTGTTTTCCTAATGCTTGTAGTTTACAGGTTTGGTTGGCTTGCGTGCTCTGTTTGTATAAATGTTTGCTGAAGCATTGTAATTAAGATTGACATCTGCAATCAATAGATAGGCAGGGCTTCAGCTTTTATACATTATACTCTGCTTTATACTTAACATCCAATAACATATATGTATAATGTATACTGAAGCCCCGCCTATCTACTGATTGCAGATGTCAATCTTAATTACAATGCTTCAGCAAACATTTATACAAATAAAGCAAGCAAGCCAACCAAACCTTTAAACTACAAGCATTAGGAAAATAGCTCTAAGCATTATCATTATTGTTTCTTTACTTATTTCAATTTGTAATCATTATATTTTTAGGTAACATGCCCTTTATGGGCCTATAATTGGTTTTAATAAAGTATTTGTATTCGTATTCGTATAAAGACTTTAAATTTGGGAATGTAAACCTTTGCAGCCCTTTTTAAAATACAAAAAAAAAAAACAACAGTTGGACAATGCAAGTTATTAGAAAAATTATTTGACCCCCCTGTTGTGCCTATTGTTCTATACGGCAGTGAAGTGTGGGGAATAGGGAAACAACACAGCCATTCAGATACCTTTGCTCGACCACTTGCAATTTAAATATATTAAAGAAATTCTAGGAGTCCATTGCAAAACATCAAATGCTACATGCTTAGCGGGGCTGAACAGATTGCCCTTATATACCAGAATAAAATCTTCAGCAATAAAGTATTGGCTTCATATACTAGAGTCTAATAATTCACTCATAAAAACATACAAAGCAACTGAAAAAAAAAACAACTCACGGATAATAGATGTGAAAAATCTTATTTCAAAACTTGGATTTCATTTTATTAATCTAAAACCTTTTGATATTAAAATTTATTTAAAGCACATTAAAGAGAGAATCAAAGATACAGCCTTTCATAGGCAAGAGACTGGCATCAATCAAAATAAAAAAAATAAACTTCTTTAATATATTATATAAACCAAATATAAGACCCTCATATGTTGATCAATGCAAATCCAAATGTGATATAGATCAACATTGTGTTAGTTAAGGATAAGTGCTCATACTTTATCAGTTGAAAGAGGACAATATTTAAATATATACCGAAGCAGAGTAGGATATGTCTTTGCTGCAACAATGGAGACATTTAAGATGAACTACATGTTCTACCTATGAATATTTGAGAGATAACCCCATTAAAAAATTCAATAATCTTCTATTGAACAACAGATTGAAGTTAAATCAATTCTAAATAACAATTCAACAACAGTATTAAAATTGTTGTGAATTACTTGAATGAGTGCTTGTTAGTAAGAAACTCATTGTTGGCAAAAGATACTTGATTTGTGTTTTCTTTTTCTTATACTTAATATTCACTGTCACTCCTTCATTGTACATATGCTATTGAAGTGTGTCTGCATTGTGTTGCCATAACCATTTATTGTTAGTGTGTGTGATAGTGCCAATAAAGTTAATATTATCATTATTATAACAAAGAATGTATTTGTCCACTCAATAAATATTTCATATGCTCTCGACCTTATGACAGTCAGACATAGTACATGTAGTCAGAGACATATACATAAACCTGAGACTTATACAAAGTTCCCAATATCTCGAAACAATATATTAGACAGTTCGTAAATTAAGAATTTCAAACCATAATTTACACATCGAAAAAGGCAGATATAATATAATACACCTTTGGGTCAAAGAATATGTAAACATTGTATTGATAACAAAATTGAAGATGAGTTTCATTTCATATGTGAATGCAACCTCTATCAAGACGATAGGAAAAAGTTTTATGATGGCGTTGTTATAAATATTATGTATACCATGTTTTTGTAATCTAAATAATTTTAATAAATTCAGATATTTAATGAAATGTATGGAGACTGATGTTCTCAAAAGATTTTAAATGCAGTCTAATTAAAATATATCATGATCAGAAATTGATCAGTGATCATCAGTGGGAATAATTGCCATGATAATTGATGTGTGTGTTTTGTCTATTGTTTATTATACGTCACAAAATTGCTGTCTCTTTTTAGTTTTATTTTTTTCTATGTTTTCATTTATTTCAGCGAATCTTTTTGTGCTGGATTTTATACTGAATAAAATTAGTTAGTTAGTTAGTTAGTTAGTTAGTTACATGAGACCAGAGACATATATAATACAATTTTATATGTCTCTGATGAGACACATGAGACTAGCTGCAAAATCCGGAATATTTTACATGGTTAAGCCGTCGTTGTAAATAATTTTGTGGGCGCAAAAACGTTTGAAAGCACGAGGATTTTCGTTTTTGGTACAACTACATGTTTGACCTTGAATTTAAGGAAAAAAATCTTGATTTCTTACTAAAATTCCCGATTTCTTCTTTAATTTTCTCTGAGCGTTAAATATGAGTGCTGCTGCAGATCTTAAAAATCAAGGCAACAAATATTTTGCAAATAGAAGTTTTGATTCGGCGATTAATTGTTATTCAAAGGCTATAGTAAGTGAATGAATTAATAATTATGAAAAAACAACACTTGACCAATTTTACGCATAGGCACTTGTGCATATTTTGTTGATTGTCTACATGTATATATGGCAAACGCAGCACTGGTACACCAAAAAAAATGCTGGTATTTATAGAATATTGTGTTCTTTCTCAATAAAATACAACAATTCTGAAAGGGTCATACTGAACAGAGCCTGTAGTCAGTGTAGAAGTCTGGTAGAGTCTGGAGGCTTATAAAAATGGGTTTATTTATTTACAATTAAAAGTTGTTTTCAACAATAAAGCTGTTCCAGACTCCAGGGTCACCATTGCTGGAAATCTGATGTTCAACTGATATATGCATGATATGCACCAAAAACCAATTTTACAGTTATTAATTGACTTACAAAGATACATATTAATAAAATAACACATTAATAACTGTAATTTTATTACTATTAGCACAAATAAACCAATTTCAAACCTCCAGACTGAACCAGATTCTTCAGTATGACAGTTCTGAGAGGGTATCAGGTTGTCCCCACAAAGATGATCTGGCCTCCAGTCGTTCCGGCCCCATATGAAAATAATTGAATTATAACTATAAAATTGAAGGGTTTTGTGACATTTTTGATTCATTGTAAATGGAATATGCACTTGAAAAATTTGTGTAAATTTCCGCCAATGATTTGAGGAATATTTTTTAGGAAACAGTCAGTATTGATGACTAGTGACATTCATCAAACAACATTTCTCAATTTGAGTAGTTATTATAGCATTAACAAAAACAAAGTTTGTATGCATCAGCTTGGGAAACAGCTTGTACAGTTGTGTGTGTAACTAATGTTATTACACCAGTTGAAAGACCTGTTAAGATCATCATGATCATAATCATTTGAAAAATTACTGATTACTTTTGAATAAAGTTGATGGTACTAGCTTCCGTGATATATGATTTTAATATAATTATGCATACACAGAAATATATTAATAGTCTTGATAACTTCTAATAAAATCATAATCAGCATAAATGCTTTATATGCACTCATTTCCACATATAGGGTGATAAATTTAATATTTTACACTAAAAATTATATATTTAAAAGAATATTATTCAACAAAATGTCTTGCTACATGTATAACAATGTATTCATAAAATTCATTTTATGGTCCATCTTCGCTATTATTCATTAAATTCATTAATATTTATGAATTACAAGTCCATTACGTATAATTTTATTACAAGTCCATTATGTATAATTTTATTACAAGTCCATTATGTATAATTTTATTACAAGTCCATTATGTATAATTTTTATCCCTTGTAAGTATTTTCTAAATTGTTTCTGGATCGATATCCACTCTGAATACATGTATGGTCTGGATGAAATTGGCCGGAAAGACTTTGACTAGATTCAATGAAAGCTCTGAAAGGGTTCTTAGATTTACCCCCAAGATACCCTAAAACACAAAAAGAAGTAAAATGACTTAAGAATAACTAATGACATCTTTTCTTTAAAAAGATTTGTTTTCTTGTTTTAAGTAAGATGAAATAGGTAGGGAAAACTACTTTCACTGAAGAATAATGTTATGAATAACCATTAATTGGTGATTATAACTCAATTGACATTTATATTTCCCTTTTGACATAAACTAAGATACATTTAGACTAATTGAGTAACATGTACAATGTATAATGCTGTTTTCTTCATAATCAATCTAAGGTTCATCATAAGGAATTGACAAATATGGCAGAGTTTACCCCACAAAATTTACTATGAGTTCTGACAAACTTATGTACCTTTATTTATTTGGAGCCATGGCATGACCTAATGATTAACTAGTGGATTATACCTCAATTCAAGTATTATTTGCCTTATGAAAAAATACTGCAAGCGAATACATGTACTCACCAAAGTCTTAATTGAAATGTGCAATGACGTTCAAATTTTTTTTAAGGATTTATTATGAAGAAAACAGCATTATACCTCGATTGGTCTATTTTAGTATGTACATGTATATATGTTAAATGGTGGTACATTCCTCCAATTAACATGATTAAAAATGGTTATGCCTGACCTGTATATTATATCCCAATGGCGTGTGAGGGTATTCTAGTATTGTTAGTCCTAATAATCTCTTCACTTTTAAGGTAGTACATGTATAGTATACATGTATATTTTATATTGATAATGTGATACTTGAGTTGTTTTACTAGATATGTTGTAATTATACACCTGTAAATGACATATTACGGTACACCAGTCTGTCTGGTCATCCGTCTGTATGTCAACATTTTAACCAATAACTCAAATTTGCTTTATACAATACTCATGAAATTTTAAGTCAACATTAGGATTGATGAAAGAAAGGTCCCTTGAAAATGTTTGGTCTGTTGTTCTAGAGTTACAGGACTTTACTGTCAGATTTCAGGCAATTTTTCACATATTGCACACTTACATTGTACTTGTGTATGATTAGATTGATTTACTTAAAAAATTACACTGTTATTGGTTGAAGGAAACTCCCTTTTGAATTTGAAATTTTTCTGATTATGTCATTCCAGAGGTACAGGATTTTTTAACTGTCAGATTTTAGTTAATTTTTCACATGTTGTACACTAACTTGAGTATTCTTAAACAGTTGTAGTGGAGAAAAAAAAACACTTGTCGGAAATGGTAAAACAAAAGGTACATTTTTGTACATTATTATACGACCGCAAAAAAATTTTTGTGGTCGTATATTGGTATGACGTTGGCGTCGTCGTCGTTGTCAGGCGTCGTCCGAAGACACATTGGTTTTCGCACTCTAACTTTAGTTTAAGTGAATGGATCTCTATGAAATTTTACCACAAGGTTCAATACCACAAAAGGAAGGTTGGGATTGATTTTGGGGGTTATGGTACCAACAGTAAAGGAATTAGGGGCCAAAAAGGGGCCAAAAATAAGCATTTTTAAACGACCGCAAAAAAATTTTGAGGTCGTATATTGGTATGACGTTGGCGTCGTCGTCGTCGTCCGGCGTCGTCGTCGTCCGAATACACAATGGTTTTCGCACTCTAACTTTAGTTTAAGTGAATGGATCTCTATGAAATTTTACCATAAGGTTCAATACCACAATAGGAAGGTGGGGATTGATTTTGGGGGTTATGGTACCAACAGTTAAGGAATTAGGGGCCAAAAAGGGGCCAAAAATAAGCATTTTTGTAACTTCCAGACATAACTTGTGTGTTAGCATATGGATCTCTTTGACATTGTACCACAAGATTCCATATCACAAAGGGTCAATGCTGGGATTGATTTTGGGGTTAATTGCCTCAAAATTTTAGGAATAAGGGGCCAAAAGGGGGCAAAAAACAAGCATTTTTCTAGTTTCATGACAATAACTTGTGTGTAAGTGTATGGATCTTTCTGAAATTTTACTACAAGGTTCCATTTCACAAAGGGAAAGCTGGAATTGAGTGTTGTGGTAATTGCCCAAAACGTTTAGTAATAAGGGGCCTAAAAAGGGGTTTAAAATAAGCATTTTTTAGTTTCTAGACAATAACTTGTGTTCAAGTGTATGGATCTCTCTAAAATTATATTACAAGGTACCATACCACAAAGGCAAGGCTGTTATTGAGCTTGGTTTGGGGGGAAAGGGGGGTGGGGGTGATGAATCATAAGGGGGGCGGGGGTCAAAAAAGGGGTAATTTTTTTTTTCCTTTTTTTTTTGTTTAAAAATTTACATTTTAAGTTAGTTATTTTTTATCACGAAGAGAAAGTAGGAATTGAGTTTTGGGGTTAATTGCTCAAACATTTATGAATAAGGGGCCAAATATTGGTCAAAAATAAGGATTTTTTTAGTTTGCAACAAAAACTTGTGTTCAAGTGTATGGATCTCTGTGAAATTGTATTGCAATGTACCATACCACAAATTGAAGGTTGTGATTGAGGTGGGGGATGATGAATCAAAAGGGGAATCAAAAAATGTGTGGGAGGTAGGATTTTTTTTTTTTCCTTTTTTTTTCTTTAAAATTTTCCATTTAAAGATGGTTGTTTCAGATTTATATATGAAAGAAAATAATAATGATACGGTTATATATCATGAGGAATTGAAATTTAAAATTATGTATATTGGAAATTTAGGTTACATTGGAAAGTAATAATTGGCTTTGGGGGGGGGGGGGGGGGGGGGGGGGGCTGGGGTTATGGCTCTAATGTTTAAGGAATAAGGGGAAAAAAGGTTAAAAAACAAGGGTTTCCATTTTAATAGACAAATAATTGAGTAAAGAACATTATTTAAAAGCAGTGTAAGGTTGGTAATTCAAACTCATTTAAATATCTCATCTACACTGCTTTTAAATTATGTAAATTGGAAATTTGCCAATAACTTTATTGTTAATAAATGCATTGGAAATTTGCCAACAATTTTAGTGTAATAAACTTCATTGGAAATTTGCCAATATAAAATTTTGCTGATGAAGGTTTTTTGTTTACCTTTAGCCTTGACTATGAAGTCATTTTCTATTTTTATAGCCTTATGATGTAGTTGAATTATTTAATACTTTTATGATGTGTTTAAATGGGGTTTTATCATGTTTATGGTTGCAAATTTATTGTTTTAGTATAATAAACTCCATTTAAAATTTGCCAATAAAAAAAAATTTTGTTTATTTTTAGCTATGATTATGATGTCATTTTCTCTTTTACTTTTATGGTTGCAAAGAAATTTTTATTTTTAGATATTACTGTTAAATGATGCTGATTAAGGTTTTTGCTATGTTTAGCCATGACTATGATGACATTTTCTATTTTGATATCTGTTATGATGTATTTAAATGGGCTTTTATGGTTACAAAGGAATTTTATTTTTAGATATTACTATAAAATGTTGCTGATGCTGATTAAGGATTTTGTTTATTTTTAGCCATGACTATGATGTCATTTTCTATTTTAATACCTTTATGATGTAATTTCCATTTTTAGATATTACTGTTAAATGATGCTGATTAAGGGTTTTTTGCTATGTTTAGCCATGACTATGATGTCATTTTCTATTTTAATATCTTTATGATGTATTTAAATGGGCTTTTATGGTTACAAAGGAATTTTATTTTTAGATATTACTTTAAATGTTGCTGATTAAGGATTTTTGTTTATTTTTAGCCATGACTATGATGTCACTTTCTATTTTAATACCTTTATGATGTATTTAAATGGGCTCCCATGTATTTAGATTTTTGATTATTTATACATGTTACCAAATTGGTCCACATTGAACAAAAACGGTCCAAATTTCAACTTTATTACATTACATCAAACATTGAATTCTACATATTCTTTGATATATTGAAATTAACAAACAATTTAGTTTATGGATATTCCACCATAATAGGTAAATTAAATTTTTTCCAGTTCTTACACCACATTCATCCTATGTCAGAAACCTATGCTGTGTCAAATATTTAATGACAATCCAAAGTCATAGCTGTATCAAGCTTGAATTTTGTGTCCATACTTGCCCCAACTGTTCAGGGTTCGACCTCTGCGGTCGTATCAAGCTGCGCCCCAGCGAAGCATTTTATTGTAACTTCTAGACATTACTTGTGTGTTAGTGTATGGATCTCTCTGACATTGTACCACAAGGTTCCATATCACAAAAGGAATGCTGGGATTGATTTTGGGGGTAATTGCCTCAAAATTTTATGAATTAGGGGCCAAAAAAGGGGCAAAAAACAAGCATTTTTCTAGTTTCATGACAATAACTTGTGTGTAAGTGTATGGATCTTTCTGAAATTGTACTACAAGGTTCCATATCACAAAGGGAAAGCTGGAATTGAGTTTGGGGGTAATTGCCAAAACGTTTAGGAATTGGGGGCCAAAAAGGGGCCATAAATAGGCATTTTTCTAGATTCCAGACAATAACTTGTGTTCAAGTGTATGGATCTCTCTGAAATTGTACTGCAATGTACCATACCACAAAGGGAATGCTGGGATTGATGATGGGGGTAATTGCCTCAATATTTTAGGAATTAGGGGCCAAAAAGGGGCAAAAAACAAGCATTTTTCTAGTTTCAGGACAATTACTTGTGTGTAAGTGTATGGATCTTTCTGAAATTGTACTACAAGGTTCCATATCAAAAAGGGAAACCTGGGTTTGAGTTTGGGGGTAATTGCCCTAAACGTTTAGGAATTTGGGGCCAAAAAGGGGCCAAAAAACACATTTTCCTAGTTTCCAGACAATAACTTGTGTTCAAGTGTATGGATCTCTCTGAAATTGTACTGCAAGGTACCATACCACAAAGGGAAGGCTGGGATTAAGTTTGGGGGTGATGAATCATAAGGGGGTTCAAAAAATTGGGGGGGGATTTTTTTTTTTTTTCCTTTTTTTCCTTTTTTTCCTTTTTTTTTTCTTTTAAAATTTTCCATTTTAAATTGGTTATTTCTGATTTATATTTAAAAGCAAATAATAATGATATGGTAGGAGATACACACCAAACAGGATGTGTAAATTATTATATAATAAGTATTGTGCAATAGCAAGAAATTTTCAATTGCACAGTATTGCACAATAGCAAGAAATCTTCAATTGCACAGTATTGCGCAATAGCAAGAAATCTTCAATTGCACAGTATTGCGCAATAGCAAGAAATATCAAATAGCACAATATTGCGCAATAGCAAGAAATTGTCAATTGTACAGTATTGCACAATAGCAAGAAATATTTAATTGCACAGTATTGTGCAAAAGAAGATACTTCGTATAAATTGCTTATTTCTTGACCAATTTCAATGGGGTTTTATTCTTGAATTTTTGGGGTTCTTTAATATGCTGAATCTAACCGTGTATTTAGTTTTTGGATTTTGGGCCCCGTTTTTAAATTGGTCCACATTGAGGTCCAAAGGGTCCAAAATTAAACTTTGTTTGATTTCATCAAAAATTGAATTATTGGGGTTCTTTGATATGCCGAATCTAACCGTGTATTGAGATTCTTAATTTTTGGTTCCGTTTTCAAATTGGTCTACATTTATGTCCAAAGGGTCCAAAATTAAACTTAGTTTGATTTTAACAAAAATTGAATTCTTAGGGTTCTTTGATATGCTGAATCTAAACATGTATTTAGATTTTTGATTATGGGCCCAGTTTTCAAGTTGGTCCAAATCGGGTCCAAAATGAAACTTTGTTTGATTTCAACAAAAATTGAATATATGGGGTTCTTTGATATGCTGAATCTAACCATGTATTTAGATTTTTGATTTTTGGGCCCCGTTATCAACTTTGTTCAAATTGAGGTCAAAAGGGTCCAAAATTAAACTTTGTTTGATTTCATCAAAAATTGAATTCTTGGGGTTCTTTGATATGCTGAATCTAACCATGTATTTAGATTTTGGATATTGGACCATAATAGGTGAATGTCCAATTTAAAATTTTTAAGTTCTTAGACCACATTCATTCTGTGTCAGAAACCTATGCTGTGTCAAATATTTAATCACAATCCAAATGCAAAGCTGTATCAAGCTTGAATGTTGTATCCATACTTGCCCCAACTGTTCAGGGTTCGACCTCTGCGGTCATATCAAGCTGCGCCCTGCGGAGCATTTTATTACCTTTTGATTTAAAAAAATTTCGGATTTTTTTTCTTCAAATATTGAACCTTAACCGTCAGATTTAAGGTGATTTTTCAAATGTCATGCTGCACATGTAGCTTTAGTTAGTCTAGTATGCTTGGATCAAATTACTGCAAAGTTTATACTCAGGTTTTGAGATTGGTGAATGCTATACAATTTCAATATGCCATGAAAGGGCTGCACATGTGCACTTTGCACAGCTGTTTATTGCACGTGGCGGGGGGTCGTGGCCATAGAAACATTTATTGATGTTTTTTATTTGTGAGGGATCTTTGATTAATATAACATTACAAATGTTTTCTAAGTGTGTAGAAGTTAGCACAATAAAAAACTCAAGAGATTTATTAGGTTCACGGTATTAGTACTTAGGGTACTTTCCATCTTGTCTTCTTTAATTTAGTATAATATTCAAACATCAAAGGATATTACAGGCTATGGAAAAATTTAAGTAAATTATTTTTTAACAGGAGTGGGGGGTTATTAAAATAAGTGAGTACAATTCTTATTCACAAATGTCACAAATAGGTCACATACTCTTTTCAATAAATGATACGTAGAAAAAAATCATTTAATTTTTTTGTGAGAAAATTAACTTAATTGACATTTATGTCTTTTTTTTCAGTTGAAAAGTCCTAATACATCAACTTACTTCACAAATCGAGCATTATGTTATCTAAAAATGAAAAAGTGGGATTTAGCTCAACAAGATTGCCGTCGTGCCTTAGATTTAGATAGATCTTTAGTGAAAGGACATTTTTTCATGGGACAAGCATTGGTTGAGCTTGGCTTGTATGATGAAGCTATTGCAAGTTTGATGAGAGGTAAATCTTTATACAAATTGAAAATTTATTCAGTCAATTCAGAAATAAGAAGTTCTTTATTAATGCTTAAAATGTGATAAACAAGAATTACATTTATTATTTTTCAAGTAATACACAAACAAATAGAAAACTAATTTAAACCCATTAAAACGTTTGGAAGGCCACACATTGACAACAGTAAGAATAAAAAATTTGATTTAAATTCATTGAAAAAAATCTTAAAAATGCTCTTTTAAAATGACAATGTACATGTATACCATCTTATGGTTATTGCTATGAAACATTTGTTCTGATAGATTCAGTTTCTAGTTACAATGTAGCAATACTTCAGAGCTTTTAAACATTTAGTTTTATTTCAGTGCATATCTTTGTGTTAACAGTTATATAATAGATATTGTTGCGCAAATACATTTTGTAAGGGACGTTGTCTTGTGTTGGCAATACGTGTTTTTATATGACTGCAAAAAATTTTTGTGGTCGTATATTGGTATCACGTCGTCGTCATCGTCCTAAGACACTTGGTTTCCGGACAATAACTTTAGTATTAGTAAATAGAAATCTATGAAATTTAAACACAAGGTTTATAACCACAAAAGGAAGGTTGGGATTGATTTTTGGGGTTATGGTCCTAACAGTTTAGGAATTAGGGGCCAAAAAAGGGGCCCAAATAAGCATTTTTCTCGTTTTCAGACAAAACTTGTGGAACAGTGTATGGATCTCTCTGAAATTGTACAACAAGTTTCCATACCACACAGGGATGGTTAGGATTGGCTTTGGGGGGTAATGGCTCACACCGTTTAGGAATTAGGGGCAAAAAAAGGGGGAAAAACAAGGGTTTCCATTGTTAATGGACAATCACTTTTAAGTACAATGTTAAATTTGGATTACCTCCCTTACACTGCTTTAAAATTATGGAGAAAGAAATTTTGTATCGTCTTGAGGTGATTAGCTGTCAATTTATTTTTAGAAGTTACTATTACAAATGCTGAGTAAAGATAAATTATTTTTAGACATGATTATGTATGTCATTTTCTATTTTAAGACTTGTATGATGTATTTAAATGGGTAATTATGGTTGCAAACTCCATTGGAAATTTGAATTGAGATAATGACCATATCTTGAGGGAAAGATTTTTTTTTTGGAAAAAGGGGAGAGGGAGGGGAGGTGAAAAAAATGGGGGGGGGGGGGTTGTCAATTTGCAACAGCATAGTGTATTGCACAAAAGCAAAAAATTGAATATAAATTCAAATCATATAACCAATTCTAAGTTCTTTGACTACAGTTATTTTGTGTCAGAAACCTATTATGTGTCAAACATTTAATTTCAATCCATATTCAGACCTGTATCAAGCACGAATATTGTGTCCATTTTTGCCCCAACTGTTCAGGGTTGGACCTCTGCGGTCATATCCAGCTGCGCTCGGCGAAGCAATTTATTTTTCTTTGAAAAGCACTTGCTCCATGTTTAAGGTTTTTTTAGTGTTGCCTACAGATAGAGTCAACAAGTTGGGACCATTACCCATCGTTTTGGGTTCTTTATGTTTCATTTGACTTTCTAAGGGTTAAGATCATGTCAAATGATAAATAAAGAAAGCAATCCTTCATATTTTATGTTACCTTTTTATTCTTTTGCAATCGCAGCAAATGATTTAGCCAAAGAACAAAAGTTAAACTTTGGAGATGATATAGCAGGTGCTCTTAGAATGGCCAAGAAAAGAAGATGGAATGCTATAGAAGAAAAACGTATTAAAGAGGAAATAGAATTACAGTCTTATATAAATAATCTCATTATTGAAGATAAAAAGAGGCAAGTTTTTATTACAAGAGATTAGAAGTATTATTAACAGATGTTATATCATTTGTCATGCAGTTTTGAAACTCAAGGGATCCTCTACTGTAAACATTTATTATTAATTATCAAGTTCCCTTTCTTAGCTATATATAAATAAGAACATGTGGTATGATTGGCAATGGGACAACTCTCCACCAGAAACCATATGAAGTGGATGTAAGCAACTATTTGTCACCTTACAGTCTTCAACAATGAGCAAAACGAATTCAGTAAGCTACAATGGCCCTGACATGACAAAATGAAAAAATTAAAATGAGAAAACCAACAGACTGATTCATGCTAAAACAATAAACAAATAACAAATATGACAGACGGCAACCTAGGACAAGCACTGAATATTAGGCTCCTGATTTAGGACAGACACATACAGAATGTGGCAGGGTTAAACATGTTTTTTCGAGCGCTAAACCTTCAAACTAGCCTGAGACAGGGGTGTAACAAACTAACAACACAACACAACACAAAATAAACACAAACTGTAAAAATCAGTTGGAAACAGCTTGAGTTATCAGATCGGCACGAAGCACTAAAAAAAACTTAAGAAAAACAGACAAAAGACACAAAGTAGTCTAAGAGTACTCACAGTTACTGAAAACTACTTATAAATCAGTTGTTATTTTGATAAACAGTATATATGAAAAATATAATATATATCATATAAAAAGAGAAATATTGTCGGTCTTTTTTTGAAAAAGAAGTAAAAATTTCATTTATGTTTATTACATTTTTATATAGACTATGCTACAGATCAGTGTATTGCATTTATTAAACAGTGCAGTGTATTTGTACCTTATGATAAATAAATAAAGTTTAATGTACATGACAACAATTCTTCTACAGGAAACTTGAAAAACTTTCTGAAGAAACCTCTGATCAAGAAAGTTTTACAGAAGTACAGAATGCATTAGAAGAAGATAATGTAAGGAATGCACAATATTATTTACCGGTAGGGTTTCAGTATAAGTGAAATTGGCACTATTAAATTACAATCATTAATTTATACTTTCATAGAAGATAAAAAGGTTTTAACACAAATTAAAGGAATTTAAAATACAACTTCATTATATTGTATATTGTGTGTCATTATATTTGCCACATTTGGAATGAAAATGAGAAATTTTTAACTTTCTTTCAAATTATTTGTCTCTATGTACTTATTATCATTATATTTAAAAAAAAAAAATGGTTTCATTTTTTTGCTCACCTGGCCCAAAGGGCCAAGTGAGCTTTTCTCATCACTTGGCGTCCGTCGTCCGTAAACTTTTACAAAAATCTTCTCCTCTGAAACTACTAGGCCAAATTTAACCAAACTTGGCCACAATCATCATTAGGGTATCTAGTTTAAAAAATGTGTCCGGTGACCCGGCCAACCAACAAAGATGGCCGCCATGGCTAAAAATAGAACATAGGGGTAAAATGTAGATTTTGGCTTATATCTCTGAAACCAAAGCATTGAGAGCAAATCTGACATGGGGTAAAAATGTTTATCAGGTCAAGATCTATCTGCCTTGAAATTTTCAGATGAATCGGACAACCCGTTGTTAGGTTGCTGCCCCTGAATTAGTAATTTTAAGGAAATTTTGCCGTATTTGGTTATTATCTTGAATATTATTATAGATAGAGATAAACTATAAACAGCAATAATGTTCAGCAAAGTAAGTTCTACAAATAAGTCAGCATGACCAAAATAGTCAGTTGACCCCTTAAGGAGTTATTGCCCTTTTATAGTCAATTTTTAACAATTTTTCGTAAATTTTGTTATCTTTTACAAAAATCTTCTCTGAAACTACTAAGATGAATTTAACCAAAGTTGTAAACAATCATCATTAGGGTATGTAGTTTAAAAATTGTGTCTGATGACCCCGCCCGCGAACCAAAATGGCCGACATGGCTAATAATAGTACATAGGGTAAAATGCAGTTTTTGGCTCATATATCTAAACTAAAAGCATTTCGAGCAAATCTTTCAAAACAAAATTGTACATTAGGTCAAGATCTATCTGCCCTTAAATTTTCAGACCATTCAGGCAACCCGTTGTTGGATTGCTGCCCCTGAATTGGTAATTTTTAGAAATTTTTTCAACTTTTGGTTATTATCTTGAATATTATTATAGATCGAGATTAACTGTAAACAGCAATAATGTACAGCAAAGTAAGACCTACAAATAAGTCAACATGACTAAAATGGTCAATTGACCCCTTAAGGAGTTATTGCCCTTTATAATCAATTTTTAACAATTTTCATAAATTTTGTGAATTTTTACAAAATAATTTCCACTGAAACTACTGGGCCAAGTTCATTATAGATAGAGATAATTGTAAGCATCAAGAATGTTCAGTAAAGTAAGATCTACAAACACATCACCATCACCAAAACACAATTTTGTCATGAATCCATCTGTGTCCTTTGTTTAATATGCACATAGACCAAGGTGAGCGACACAGGCTCTTTAGAGCCTCTAGTTTTAATTACATTCCACACTGCTTGTTGAGTAGTTTTAAAATTAGTATTGAGTAAATTTTGATACTACAACTTCTTATTTACTTCTTACAGGACAAAAGAATAAAAGACGTAAATGAGTTATTTTCTCAGTTAGATCACAGACGAAAGGTAGATCATAATTGTTGTGAATTTAAAATGAAAACATACATATTCAAGTTTTTCAAAATAAAGAAGAAATCTATAAAATATTGATAAGAGATAGTGTTGTTCCGATGATCAGATGAAGTCGGAAATCAGTTGGTTGGGCCTGGCGATGTCGATAATCGATTGGGATTTTGTTCAATCGATTGTCGTTATAGTATATCAACTTCCGGTCCATTTCCGGTTTGCATTTTACATGTACATGTGCAGTCAAACAAATTGTAACGAAAATTATCAGTCGATGACAATAACAATGTCAAACATCCTATAATCGAAGACATAACCAATTTCTTTCTTTATAAACGTGGTAAAAGCATTGACTCTACAGATTGATACTAGTAGTATGTTATTTAAAATAAATAACTTTTTATGAAATACTTTCTTTCAATTCCGGTACTTGTTACTCGAGAGCATACATGAAATCATTCTGATTTTAGACAAAATAAATTTTTTGCTACATTAGAACGTGGTGCAAATTTCCTTTTATTAATGTTTCATCCATTTGTTGCGTCAAAAACGTCATATTCCTTTCCAAATTGCATGTCATACATCGTTTATTTTGGTAAATTTTCCCAGTTTGTCCGCCATTGAAATATATACAAATCCCGGATCGAGATCAACTATGTAAGAATTCCTCATTCTTGCAATTATAAGTACAGAAGCATGAATGACACAGCTGACAGAAGAATAATGATCACAAAAGTGAAAAATAAGCATTCTATACGAATTAACAGTCATTGATTGGATCCCCTTAGTTAAATGTATATATTTCAATGCAAATGCATTGTTTTATTTTTTGATTAATTTTAAATTGCTTAAAGTTAAATACTTTATATATCTATTTTTAATGCGAAGCATTCAAATATTTGTACAGCTATGTATTTGAAATTATAATGTGAGTAATACCATTGAAATTTAGAAATTTTAGTGTCATTGTTGGTAATAAATGTTGTAATTATAAGACAAAATATGTTCAATCTGAATCTGGATTCTTATTGATTCATTGTTTTAATTGCTAATTGAAATATGAAAAGGAAACAAAAGATCAAATATGAACATAGAAAACTCTGCAATGATATGGAATATACGCATTAGACATGTACAATGTGACTAAAAGCATGATTTCATTTTATAAAAGGGCAAGGTATAATGATGCCATCATAACAGATAGTCGGTTGGTTGCTGTCAACTGATAGTAATAGATAATCGGTTGGTAATTTCAACCGATTATCCAACACTAGTTAGAGACCACTGAGACTGACTCTGTCTGTAATTACTTTTTGTAAATATTTGCATCACCTGCAATAATAGTGTGGTACACTTGATCTGGCATTATTTGATATTTGTAGAATGTGTAGAAAGTTATCTTAAGCCGTGTCAAACAAGCAAAAAATGTAATTGATTATGCTGACTTATATTTACTACAATATATTCTAGATATATATCTGCATTATCTTATTTTTTTTATTCAACAGACCTCACTTTACTCTTTTAAAAAGAAAGATTATATATGTAATATCAGTGTTATTTCTTGCTTAATATCCAGGCCAGTTCAACTTTTAGTACTAATTCTACAATATATACTAGCACTAAGGAAGAAAGGAGACCATAGAAATAAATGGGTATAAAGAAGCAGTCTTTCCTGTGATTTATATCTTTAGTATTACTTCTGTTATTTCAGACAAGAGATGTTCCTGATTATTTATGTGGGAAGATAAGTTTTGAATTGATGAGGGAACCAGTCATTACACCCTCAGGAATTACATATGATAAAAAGGATATTGTGGAACATTTACAGGTATATACTGTGTTACTTATATGCTTGAAAATAATTAGACTTGTGGACTAGGTTTGAGCATTCTAAAATATTGCAGAATATTCTTATCTATTTGTTTAAAATCATGCATCTATTTGTCTGTGTTGTCATCTCTCTTCACATCTCAACCTAATGTGGGGTGTGGTAATGGAGGGCTATTTGAATACTTTACACATCTAATATTCAGTATATCATTGATCTACACTAATATACTGTAAATTCAGAAATTATTGCGATGTTTTTATTATGGGAAAAATGCGACAGGGTTATAATCGCAATAATTAAAACTTTTGAAATTTTTTATATTAATTAAACAGGATTTTTCTCTATATCGCAAAAATTAAAATTGCATTTTAGTCTAAAATGACAAAATCGCAATAATAAATGCATGCAATAATTTCTGAATTTACAGTATATGATTTGCAGGTGTATTTTGGTATTTAAGTGTTTGCATGTGGAGATCACAATAACACATATTTCATGGTTCAATAGCTCTGATAAGATGACTTTTACTTCTGTACTGTTTTAATTATAACATGAGCTTTGTCAAGCCAATTTGAGAACAAGGAAAACTTTATTATCATAGGTTACTTATGCTACTTTGTATGCTTTTGCATTTGTAATTTGGCATTTATGCATTATGTGGAGTCTGTTATGCCCGACCTGGTCACTTTTCCAAGATTTTGGAATTTGGACATTATTCAGATTTTCTGACTAAGTGTGTAAGTGAAGATTGATTTATAATCTGATAGACCATTGATATTTGGAAGTTGTTATATTAGGATCTGAATATCTCATTCCAATAAGACTAAGTAGATATAAGAAGATGTGGTATGAGTGCCAATTAGACAATTTGTCACAATTTGTAAAAGTAAACCATTATAGGTCAAAGTAAGGCCTTCAACACGGAGCCTTGGCTCACAATGCACAGCAAGCTTTAAAGGGCCCCAAAAATGACTAGTGTAAAACCATTCAAACAGGAAAACCAACGGTCTAATTTATAATAAAAACGAGAAATGAGAAACACTTATGAACCACATCAACAAACGACAACCACTGAACATCAGGTTCCTGACTTGGGACAGGTGCAAACAAATGCAGCGGGTTTAAACATTTTAATAGGCGCCAATCTTCACATTATCTGAAACAATACTGTTACATCACAACATAGAAAGACACACTATAAAATATCAATTGAAATGGCTTACCTCAATCTAAAGGCTTCACTTATCAGGCGTGCTCCAATGAATTTGAAGTATTAATATTTTTCAATGAAATTCTGATTATGAGAGTTTAAGAAGTATATATTCATGGTAAGTTACTGGTATTATCTTATGTTATTTTGTTTCAAAGCAGACAAGGCCTATAGCTAGCTCTGTGTTTAATGATAATTTATTAGAAATTGGATTATTGGTATTAATCAAGGAGGAGGAGGGTGGAATCCGACAATCTTGTAGGTTTTCAATCATTATTTGTTTATTTGTACATGTACCAATAAAATCGATACATTAGATTATGCCATTGCATACAGCAAATCAAGATTTGCAACCAAACCAAAATAATAAAATTTCAGTGATTGGAGGGAAAATATACTTCAATGGCAGAATCAGATGTTAAAAATTAGACTTATTTCAAATTCTGGAAGTCTTAAAAGGAGAAAGGTTAGGGAGAATTGGTAACACTAAATATAAACAATGCCAAATTATGTTTATATTTATACATTACAGAGAGTTGGACACTTTGACCCAGTAACTCGCACAGATCTGACACAGGACCAACTTATACCAAACCTTGCAATGAAGGAAGTAATAGATACATTTTTAGAGGAAAATCCCTGGGCTGAAGATTATTGAAATATGTGGTGTTTTAATTAAGTATCAAATGAACCAGAGCTTTATACATTAAGTATACTACTCGAGATTAGAAGCATTGGGATCATCAGGCTTCGTGAAAAAAGCAGGGATGTTCAGTTTGACATCATCATCATTATACTGGTCATCATCATTATTGTCATCAGCATCTTTATACTGGTCATCGTCATTTTTAGCTCACCTGGCCCAAAGGGCCAAGTGAGCTTTTCTCATCACTTGGCGTCCGTCGTCCGTCGTCGTCGTTAACTTTTTACATTTTGAACTTCTTCTAGAGAACCACTGAATGGAATGAAACCAAACATGGCATGAATGTTCCTTATGAGGTGCTGACCAAGTGTTGTTACTTTGTAGTGGATCCATCATCCAAGATGGCCGCCAACGGGGGACTTAGTTTAACATAGGACCCTATGGGAAATAAATTCAAATGTCTTCTTTTAACGAGAACCACTGAATGGAATGAAACCAAACATGGTATGAATGTTCCTTATGAGGTGCTGACCGAGTGTTGTTACTTTGAAGCCGATCCATAATCCAAGATGGCAGATAGTGGGGGACTTAGTTTAACATAGGACTCTATTGGAAATACATACAAATGCCTTCTTTTAGAGAACCACAGAATGGAATGAAACCAAACATGGTATGAATGTTCCTTATGAGGTGCTGACCAAGTGTTGTTACTTTGAAGCTGATCCATCATCCAAGATGGCCGCCAGCGGGGGACTTAGTTTAATATAGGACCCTATGGGAAATACATACAAATGTCTTCTCTTACAGAACCACTGAATGGAATGAAACTAAACATGGCAAGAATGTTCCTTATGAGGTGCTGACCAAGTGTTGTTACTATGAAGCCGATCCATAATCCAAGATGGCTGCCAGCGGGGGACTTAGTTTAACATAGGACCCTATGGGAAATACATACAAATGTCTTCTTTTAGAGAACCACTGAATGGAATGAAACCAAACATGACATGAGTGCTGACCAAGTGTTGTTACTTTGAAGCTGATCCATCATCCAAGATGGCTGCAGCGGGGGACTTAGTTTAATATAGGACCCTATGGGAAATACATACAAATGTCTTCTTTTAGAGAACCACATACTGAATGGATTGAAACCAAACATGGCATGAATGTTCCTTATGAGGTGCTGACTAAGTTTTGTTACTTTGAATCTGATCCTTCATCCATGATGGCCGCCAATGGGGGGACTTCCTTTAACATAAGACCCTATGGGAAATACATACAAATGCTTCTTCTACATGTTCTAGAGGTGCACTGAATGGAATGAAACCAAACATGGCATAAATGTTTCTTATGAGGTGCTGATGAAATGTTGCTACTTTGTTGCCGATTTACTGTTCAAGATGGCCACCAGGATTTTTTATTAAATTACAGGACCAATATTAAACCAAATTTGGCCTCACTCATTATTAGGGTATCTGTTATGATTTTAATCTATTTTTACATGATTTCAAAAAACCAAAGTAGAATCAGGTGAGCGACACAGGCTCTTGAGAGCCCCTAGTTTACTGCATCACCATACAGGTCATTGTCATTTTTGTCATCATCATCATACTGGTCGTTGTCATTTTTGTCATCATCATCATTTTTGTCATCATTATCATACTGGTCATCGTTATTTTTCATCATCGTTCTGGTCATCATCATTTTCCTCATCATCATCATTCTGGTCATCATCATTTTAGTCATCATCATCATACTGGTCATTGTAATTTTAGTCATTATCATCATACTGGTCATCATTATCATACTGGTCATTCTCATTTTTGTCATCATCATACTGGTCATCGTCATTTTTGTCATCATCATCATATTGGTCATCGTCATTTTTGTCATTATCTTTATCAGCCCTCTCCTCCTCAGTATCATCATTGTCATGATTACCTTATTATTATCATTATCATTGCCATCATCAGTCAATTTTCTAAAAAAAAAAATCTTTTTATAGAACTTTTCAATATTTTATCTGAATCCAAAAAGACTTATTCAATCAAAACTTGAAAGAATCAGAGGGTTGGTATACTGATGTTTTTTTTTTACTAAATGTCTACAGGCTTTAAGCTTATTGCAACCATCAACTGAAGAAATGATCATAAAATTGATATAATAACCCCCCCTCCCTTCCCCTTTTTTGGACATTATTTTGTTAAACCATTTCAAGACATCAACATTAATATGAAAAGGAAATATTGTTAGTTGAGTTTCATTTTTCAAATTGAATAATTAATTCCAAGAATTGAAATAGTTTTGTCATAAATAATACCTAAATTGTCTTCCTTCAGAATAAACTTCGAGTCCTATCTGACATCTAAACAGTTAGATCAGGTACAGTGTTGCCCCTCTGCCCTTTCTCTTTATAGTTGTATATTATGCAATTTTGTGTCCCGAAAGAAAATTATGATACTTTTCAAAGCAAATGATGGCTTTTAACAACTGAAAAAAGCATTTTACAACCCCGATACTTTAAACCCAGCAGTTATACATGAATTTAATCAATTAGTTCAATCTTTTATCTTTAAACATGATCAACTTGTCCTTTTTAGCTCAACTGGCAGAAAGGCCAAGTGAGCTATTCTCATCACTTGGTGTCTGTCGTCTGTCGTCGTTAACTTTTACAAAAATCTTCTCCTCTAAAACTACTGGGACAAATTTAACCAAATCGGCCACAATCATCATTGGGGTATCTAGTTTAAAAAATGTGTCCGATGATCCCACCTTCCAACCAAGATGGCTGACATTGCTAAAAATAGAACGTAGGGGTAAAATGCAAGTTTTGCGTATTATTTTGAAAACCGCCATGAAAAGAGAAAATTTGACAAGGGCAAAAATGTTCAGAATGTTAAGCTCTACCTATTTGCTCATATATAATGAATTTTACCATTTTTAAAAATGTTTGCCTATTATCTCGAAAATTATAATAGATAGATAGAAAATTTGAATGGCAAAAATGATCAGCAAGATAAGAGCTACAATTAAGTCAACATGGCTGAAATCTTCAGTCGACTCCTTATTAGAGTGATTGCCTCATAATGACAATTTTTACATTTTTTTTTGTGTATTTGCCTAATATCTTTAAAACTATATTAGATAGATAGGAACTTCAAATAGCAAAAATGATCAGCAAGACAAGTTCTACAAATAAGTCAACATGACTGAAATTGTTAAGTCAAATTCTTATTGAAGTTATTGCCCTTTAATGACAATTTTTTCCATTTTTGCCTATTATATTGAAAACTGTAATAGATAGATAGAAACTTTAAATAGCACAAATGATCAACAAGACAAGATCCACAAATTACCCATAATGGCAGAAATCTTCAGTCAACTCATTATTGGAGTTATTGCCCTTTAATGATAATTTTTAACATTTTTTGCCTATTATCTTGAAAACTATAATAGATAAATAAAAACTTTCAACAGGAAAAATTATCAGCAGGATAAGATCTACAAATATGCTAATATGACTGAAATTGTCAGTTAACTCTTAATAGAGTTATTCCCCTTTAATGATGATTTTTACTAAAAAGAGTCCATTGTTGAAGATGCAGGTGAGCGACACAGGCTCTTTAGAGCCTGTGGTCTAAAGTATCCTCACTAACATGCTTTTCATCCACAAAATGTGCCCTCTGTCCTTAAATCAGGAGAAAACAAAACCAACTAAAGACAAAATAAACAAATATACTTCAGACAATTTCAACACATGTTTTGTTAAAATGCAGCCATTAATTCCTTTAAAATTATTTTTTTTAAATGTGTAATTGTGTGAAATATAAAGCAAAAAATTGTAGGGGATGAACACTTATTGCATAACACTGTACCTGTTATAGCACAGAAAATTCCAAGATTGCCCATTTAGATTTATTTCTTGTGTGCAATCTAATATCTGATAAATGTCAAGAACTGGTACTATTCATAGCACCTAAGGGATAAAAGGATAATGTCCTTGCAAAATTGAAATCATAAGCCAATAAGGCCTAATCTTGCTCTGAACAATCATATAAAGTCCATTTAAAATGATATCTGATGACTCCTTTCACCAATGCTAATGGTTGTAATTTAAAACAATGAAGTATATGGTAAATATGATTTTATGTTTTCCTATCTCTAAGAAGAAACATTGTATATGTAGTCTTCTCTGTAATGTTTTGTGGACTTATTTGTCTCTGAGTATTTCCTTTTTTTGCAATAACATTGTCATTTTCTACTCGTTTCATAAGTTTTGAATGTCCCTTGGTATTTTCTGCCTCCCCCCTTTTCTTTTCTTTTAGCTTGGATTCACTTATGAATTAAGTTGAATTATATGATGTTTGATTCAGAATTTTGATGTTTATAACCACAATACAAGTCAGTGTTACAGAAGTTATACCATATGAAGTCTTTTTAAAGTAAATAGTTATGTTTTGTATGCTATTGCTCCCCCTACAGTTTCCTTTGGGATTTGAAAGAAACTTGATAAATTTTACTATCACCTTTTATAGTTTTTCGTTTTTCTATGAAAGATCTTGTAATGTTTATCAGAAATATTGTCCATTAGTTCTAGACAGTAGCTATATAGGGAGGTTTTAATTTAAGAAGAAATATGGGAGTTTTATTTATTATAAAGCAAGAAAATTTGTTGACATTTTCATTTTCAAGAAAAGGCCATATTTTGTTCGAATATTAAAAGATCTATAAATGTTTGACAAATACAAAACATTATGATGAGGAGAACTGTATATAAATCAGTAACTTTAATCTAGTGCATTTTACAAGGACTGTAATGGACTTGTAAAAAAATATGAATGAAGAATAGGTGTTTAAGATGATGATTTTTATTTGTTTTCTACTTTTATCAACATGGACATCTAAGTATATTAAATTAAACATTTTTAGTGAAAGGTTGACAATATAGACAGAGACCTTTTTCCAGTTCCACTGTGAAAACTTTTAGACTGACTGTGTTTTTATAATTATTTTTGTGAATGTAAGTTTCAATAATGCCTGGTCAGCTTTGCAGTGATAACGCATTCTATGTTTAACCCCGTCATATTCTTTATGTGCCTGTCCCAAGTCAGGAGTCTGTAGTTCAGTGGTTGTCCTTGGTTCTTGTCTGTCATATTTGTTTTTTCGTAAATTGTTTTGTTATAGGTTAGGCTGTTAGTTTTCTAATTTGAATTGTTTCATGTTTTTCATGTCTTGGCCTTTTATAGCCGACTATACGGTATGGTTTTTCATTGTTGAAGGCCATACAGTTGCCTATGATTGCTTTCACAGTCCATCCACATCATTTGAACTTTGGTGGATAGTTGTCTCATTGGCCAATCATACCACATCTCCTTATTTTTATATTCTATAATAAATTTTAGTGCAGATAAAAGCAACTGATTATATTTCATATAAGTAAAAAAAGTTTAATTTTAGTCAATATATATATTTCTATTGTATTTCAATACCCAATGTTTTCATTTTATAGAATGAAAGATCAAAGAAAAATGCAGTATATTTTCTATTAATAGTTTGCGCCTATATACATGGTATGGATTTATATATAATTATATATATATTGTATTTTCAATGTACGAACAATAATAAATACCAAAGAAATAGGCTATCTCAATTTACCATTTATAAGTTCATACACAAAGATGAATAGTACATTGTACTTGAGCTGATATTCCTGTGTCTAGTACTAGTGTCTTCTTCATAAAATCTCTCTGTAGTGAAAGTCTTTAAGAATTCAGTGCTTCCAGTCTGACAAAACTAAAAATTATCCAAGAAAGTTCAAGACAGCTGTTCAAATACTGGTTTGTTACCCCTAAACCTGTTATGTAAAATTTGGGTGTTTTTTTGGGTTACATATGATTTTATGATAACAGTGCATTTTTATAAAATATAAATAAAATACAATTGTATTCCACCTTTATTGTTTCTAGTCAGAATAAGCATTTATTTATCACATTAATCATACTGAAAAGTTTACCAGTAGATCAAATGAAGTTTTACCTTTTGTTCTTGAGAAAAACCTTACAATAAGTAAACTTACATGGATAGTAGAAAGTGGGAGGTTTGCTGTGTGAGAGGTAGATAATCATTGTACATATGGACTAACAATTAGGAAGTCAACTAAAAGGTATCAGGATTACTGAGGATTGGAAGAATCAAATTGGACCCATGATTTCTTGTCAGTCACCACATGTCATTCATTGCCTCAATTAGGTTGTTTTTTTATACAGCTTTGACAAATAGTAATGATAATAGTAATTATAACAGTTCACTTTCTCACTGTCCCATTAAGTGTATATAAGGTTGTGTTAAACTTTTTTTTTTATATTCGATGTTTTGGCACACCATTTGATAGGTATAAGTGGCCTTTTTGAAAAGACAAAAAGTGGCAAGATTAAGATACAAAGGTTTGTCATGGTTTGGACAAATATGACAAGGATATATGTAATAGACTTTTAATCCAAGGAAATTAAATCTTTGGTCATTAAGTAATGAAAAAAGTTCATCGATTTGTGTTCATATCTCATTTTGGATTTTAATGTTTTATTGCTATTACTGTGTTTAAATGCTATAAACAGAATGGTTTGTGTCTATAATTAACTTATTGATATGTGTGTCGTATATGTTTGAATGTTAAATCTTTGTGTAAGGAGTATGAATATTCTTATTTTTCCATCTGTGATATTATGTATATTGTTATATGAATATTAAGAATAAAGGCTTTAGAAACCACGAACGATTTGCCTTTATTACTGACTACACGAACTCAAAACAACTTCAAAACCAAACATTAATGTCTCGCAAATTCAACAATTCCTGCATACTTATTGATAAGTAAAAACATATTCTTTTGAGAGATTTGTCTTGTCTGAGTAATTTTGATGGTAAATAAAGGCAACTCTTTTTACAAGTGAGCTGTGTAAAAGTTTCATAGTCAATGGACCATAACTGAGAGGACAGGACCAAATTACCGGTACTCCATGGAAATGCACGTAACGAGTACATAGTTCATGATTGCAACTTTTTTTTGCCATATGACATTTCTATTGTGCAGGTTGTTTTACACACGTATCAGTGATGTGCATGCCACCAACATATAGAATTTGAACAATATTTTATGAATAATAAGAGGTTGTTGAATTTATATCAAATGTAAAAAATTATGCAAGTAGGGTGGATATTTTTTAATGGGCTGGTCATACCCTTGGCCCTCTAGTCAGCACTTCTGTGTTGACATGAATTATCATTGATATGGTCATAATTATAATTATCTGTTTACAAAACTTTTAATTTTTCGAAATACTAAGGATTTTCTATCCCAGGAAAAGATTAAGTTAGAAAAATAATTAGGCAGGACTGAGATTACAACTAAAAAAAAATGCAGGACACAATTTTTCATCCTAGCCCCCTCATAAAAATCAAATGGTAGCTCCCTTACCACAAAACTCAAATCAAGTACAAATTTGGGTAGTGTCACTTTTACCGTTCTTCAGTTATGTCCCTTTATTACTTTATATGATATGCAAGCAGGGGCATCATCTGTGTCCCATGGACACATTCCCTATTTATTTGGGTTAAAATTTCAGCGAGTGCAACAAAAACCCTCCTGTCACTGACTTGACAGCTATATAACTTTCCTTATTTCTACCTTATCTACTTAGTGCAGTGGAGTAAACACTTTGTCCATGCCCATGTCAAGTAATTAGTTAATAATATTTACTAAAATTATCAAAGAAAAAAAATGATGTATTTGTGTATAACAATTTTTTTTTATCAAAGATTACATAAGTCGCAAAAACAGTGCACGGTTTGTTAATATATCTGCTATTGTCAAAGGAAGATAAATCCAATTCAAAATATTACCTGAATTTGTTCCATTGCTTGCATCTCACAATGTAAATGAAAGCAATCCTCACAAGCAGTTCGATTTGTTAGTTTTTCTGTTTATGGCAAAGGCAACATTTTTAAAGTGATCAAGCTCACATACCCCACGCCCTCCATATAATTGAGATCTGTTGGCTTATATCTTATTCTGTTTACATTTAGATGTGACTTAATACTATATTAGGTTCCATCACTTAAACATGATTCTTTTCTGTTATAATTTCAGACCGTGATATTTTGTAACAATAACTTATTTTAGTTAAAGAGAGGCGAAAGATACCTAAGGGATATACATACTCATAAGTCGAAAACAAACTGACAATGCCATTGCAAAAAATTAAAAGTAGAAAACGACCAAAAGACAAACAACAGTATACAAAACACAAAAAAAAAAAAAATAAAGACTGAGCAACATGAACCCACCAAAAAACAGGGGATGATCTCAGGTGCTCTAAAAGGGTAAGCAGATGCTGCTCCACATGTAGGTTTCTGCTTTGTATCGATCTGATGACTTAAGCCCTTTTCAATTGATTTTTATAGTTTGTTTTTTTGTTGTACTGTTACACCAATGTCCCAGTTTAGGGGGAAGGTTTGCACCTTCAAACATGTTAAACCCCACCACATTCTATATGTGCCTGGCCCAAGTCAGGAGCCTGTAATTGAGTTGTTGTCGTTTATTGCTGTTTCTCATTATTATTTGTTTTTCGTTTATTGTTTTGTTTTGTATTGCTTTTTTGTTGTTGTACCGTTGCACCACTGTCCCAGGTTAGAGGGAGGGTTTGGCGCCAGCGAACATTTTTAACCCCGCCACATTCTATATGTGCCTGTCCCAAGTCAAGAGCCTGTAGTTCAGTGGTTGTCGTTGGGATATGTCTGTCATATTTGTTTTTCGTTAATTGTTCTGTTATAAATTAGGCCACTAGTTTTCTAAATTGAATTGTTTCATATATTTCATGTCGGGGCCTTTTATAGCCGACTATACGGTATGGGTTTTTCATTGTTGAAAGCCAGACGGTTGCCTATAGTTGCTTACATCCACTTGTCTTCATTTGAACTTTGGTGGATAGCTGTCTCATTGGTAACCATACCACATCTCCTTATCTTTATATTCATGAATAAAATGAAATTGAATAAATTTATTTTCTTAAATCCATAGTTGTCCTTTTAAACATTTGTTATTCAATGCTCTTCAACCTCGTTATAGTGATTTGGCCTTCCATGGACGGTTTTATTCGAATTCCTGTGAGTCGTACAGAGACGAAATACGAAAAAAATTTTAAAAAAAAAGAATCAACCAATTAATGAAATCTATCTCTGATGCATTTGTTTTGTCGAAAGGATAACCATCTCCTGCTTATTATGCATACCCCGCACTGCAAA